GACCGTCGGAAGCAGCCGTGGGAGCCACGGGCACGCTCTGCGCCCCGTGAAAGGGATGGCAGAAGCCCAGGGCAGCCCCTTGGAGGCCCGCGGTCATGACGCAGCTGCTGGGGGGACACGTTGGACACCCGGAATGGTCCCACGCTGTATTTGGTCACTATGGAGCAGATCAGCAGCACTGGCGTCCGCAGCCTGGTGGCACGTAGGGCAGGCGGTGGGGCTAGCTCTGCATGCAGGGCTGGAGGCTCCTTGGGGCCCTTGGCTACTGAGGGCTCCCAAGGAGATGGAAGCACCGGGAAGGCAGGAGCTCCGCAGGAAACCCAAGGCCTCTATACAGCCAAATGTCCCCCCAAGGTGGAAGGTGCCTGTGCACTGCTTTGGTGTGGGGGCAGCTCAGCAAGGAGATGGAGAACTGGCGTCCTGAAGACAAGCAAGTGGGACTGGCCTGGCTGTCACTGCAAAAGGGCCTCCGAGCAAGATAACCCCGAGTGCCCATGAGACTCCCTGAGGTCTGGCTATCCGATTGGCTCACACAGCTCCTGGCTTGAGCTGCCACCCCCTCTGCAGACGGGCAAGGGGGAGAGCGTGTCCTATTGCCCAGGGTACAGGATCACACTGAGCCCTGTGTGCTATGGGCCCTCAGTGCCATCCTCCCCTATCTCTCCAGAGCCAACACTGCTACCGGGCGGGCCAAGAAGCCCTAGACCGTCACCCCGTACCAGCTGCCTTCTCAACTTTGATGGTCGCTGCAGAGGAGACAGAGGAGAAAGCCAAGCTTGTCTGAGCTTGAGGGACCTCTGTGAGCTGTACGTATGTTTAAAGCATGATGGAGAACACCCTCAGCCTCTGCCACGTGTAGCAGTGTAGCAAACACAAAGCTACAATAACCCTTGCTACTCCTCATGCTTTGTAGACTGTGGAGCATCGTCATCTGCAGGCTCAGCTTTCCCAGAGAGTCAAGTGAACCCCCTTCCATTCGAATGACTGTGTCACTCTTCCAAGAGCTTCATCTAAGGAACTGTGTGGTGGCATATGGACAGCGTGCGTCTCATACAGGGCTGTGTCTGAGGGCCACGGTCACCTCTGCAGGTTTGCTGTAGAGGGAATGGAGTCTCCATCACTCTGAGTAGGGATTAGGAGCTCTCAGGAGTGGGTGAGACAGTCCTGGGTGGTCCCAAGGACCTTCCTGTTCTGGGATTCCTTCACTGAGCAAATGAGAAGGTTGGAGAACTCTCATCACCAACAGGGACCTCCCTGGTGGACTCGCTGGTGGAACTTCTCCTTTGCAGTAGCATCCCAATGAACATGACTGCCGGTGGGTTGCCCACCTCGTAATGTCCAAACATGGGCAGTGGCTTGCGCAGAGAGCCCAAATGCTTCATAATCTGAACAACTCTCCTTGAAATAACCCTTTCCTCCTATTAGCTCTTTCGGAGACTATCCCAGAAGCTGTAAGTTGCAGTTTTTTAGAGTCCAGACTCATCACGTACTGGTCCAAGGTCCTGTCCACCAAGAAGCAATAAGACCAGTGTCCCTGTGGTCTACCAGTGACGCTGCAGCAGGGAGCACCCTGGACCCCTCTGTGGCACTGTGAAGCCAGGAAGGCAGGGGTGAACAGGCTCCTTCCACTGAGCAAAGTTGCCATCAAGCCACGGTTGGGGACTCAGTAGTGACTGCAGGTGACAGAGCCAGCACCTGCCCCCCTGCATCCACGTGCCCTGGAGCAGCTGCCCTTGCGGGGCTTCTTCTGCCTCCGCTGTGCACCCTTGTCCTGCTCAGAGACCTCGCCTGGCACATGCCCAGAACACCAGGGTGGCCCCGTTTGCTCCCAGAACCTGGCTTGGGAAGCCGAGATGGGGGCAGCTCGGGCCGTGCCGAGGCCGGAGGAATTCCCTCTGGAGAATCACCCAGCCAGGAGTACAACTTTGGGTTTGGGAAAGAGGGCTGGGGAGAGGGTTAACTCTCAAACGGGTGGTCGAGAGCACCTGGGCACGGACGTGCTGGGCCACTGGCACCGAAGCCACGGGTCACTCCCAACGCCGGCCTTGTGGCAGCGGGAACGTCACCGGTGACAGGGAAACCGGGTGCACAGGCCAGGGACGTGCTTAGCATCCCCCTCCAGCCCAGCCTGGAGCTGCCAGCCCCGCTCCGGCACCTTTCCATAGCCAGGATTCCCCTCCTATCTGTTCTCTCCATCACCTTCCTGCTGTGCCCAGTGCTGCTCCTCTTACCTTGCTCTTGTCCAGGCTCTCTACTTCCTAGACGAGCCGAGTGAGCTCTCACCTCCACGTATTTTCCACCCTCGTATCGTGCAAGGATGCGTTTCCTTTTGGCTCCTATCTCGGCCTCCAGAAGCAGCTTTATCTTTTCCTAGGATTTGAGGGTAGCAGGCAGCACTGCTCCTTTTTCCCAGGGCTCATCCAAGCCTGAGCAGGGGCTGTGCCAGAGCCAGGCGAGCATGGGGACGAGCCAGCATTGGCGGCACCTTAGGGGACTCAGAGGCAGCAGACCAGCCTAAGCACCTGTTTTTTTGGGGTAGGAAAGTGCAAAAAAAGGCCCCAGGGCATGGAAAGTGCCAGGGGAGAGGGCTACTCTGCTTGGGCTTCTACCGGTGACCTGCCAGAGCCACCAGCCCTGCTTGTCCCTTGAGCAGCCGCAAGGCTTCGGCCACGGCTCGAGGCACAGCGGGCTGTGCTAGCGCTCCCCAAGCTGGTCTCAACATTTTCCATGACAGCAGCATTTGCATTTTCTTTTTCAAGCTTCAGCTGCAACCGCTCTGCCAGGTGCCTGCCTCGCCTTGCGCTGTGTTTTGGAAAAATTCAGCAACAGAGAGAGAGAAAAGAAAACACAAAACACAGATGAATTTCCAAAAAAAAAAAAAAAAAAGGAAAAATACGCTGTTTTGTAGATGTTTGAAAAATCCTTGCAGCTGTTGTCACTGGGGATGAGGTGCTCGTCACCCTCCAGGCTCCGGGCCTTGGGAGAAGCCTCGGCTCCCGCGTGCTGGGGCTGCACAGCGCCGGCGCCTCTCCCATGCAACTGCCGCTGCTGCCGGCGGCCTTGCAAGCGAGTGGGCGCTCTGGGGCCATTTCGTGCCTGCCTTTTACCTCTGCATCCCCGCCGTGGATGAGAAGCAGCGGGGTCTCCAAAGAGCAGGGCAAGGAGGGTGGCCCCGTCTCTCCTCCCGGCTGCACGCTCCGCATGTGGCTCGCAGGGCTGAGCAGCAGGCACCACGCTCACCTCGGGGATGAGGGGCACAAGGCAGGACGCAGGTGCTCGGGTTGCCCAATGAATCCAAGAGTCGGGCTGGAAACAGTAGTTATTTTAATCAGCACTATTCTCCAGAAATCCAGTGTATGACAGAACTAGGCGGCTGCAGAGCAGCTCCCAGGCACTTCCCAGGGAATCACGCAGCCTCCCCAGCCTGCGCCTGTCCCGGCACAGGTTTGGCTCTTGCATGGTGGTACCCAGAGCCGGGGTCAGCCCCCGCCAGCGGGACATGAGCAGCGCGGCGAGTGCCACCAGCCCCGTGCCCTGCTCTGGCCCAGCCCCGTGCCCCCGCGTGCAGGATGCAGGCACCTATGGGGCCGAGTCTGAGACTCAGGTCTGTGCAAAGCTGATGAGGATGCAGCTGCCCTGGGACGGGCAGGAGGCACCTGCACCCTGCCCAGCGCTGCCAGCCCCACTGTGACCTCCGCTGGTCCTCTCACCACATCTGCACTGACGCAGCTGGAAGACAGGGCAAGCCCCAGCTCCGGCTGCAGGAGCTCGCCCTGGCCGTGCCATGATGCTGGTTCAGGGAGGGCTGGGGACAGCTGAGCCCTTGGCCCTGAGCCCTGGCCATGAAGCAGGCGGCTGCTCCTCCACCCTCAAGCTCCCCGAGCAAAGCACCAGGAGATCCTTCACCAGGGGGCCCGGGAGTGTTCAGCAGCTGAGCTGCACTCCCAGCTGCAGCCCTGGCACGTGCCAGAGGGGACTCGTCTTGGGGCGCTTCCAGCTGGCACTCAGGGCAGCCCTACGCCAGGCACCTCCAGAAGGCAAACGTGGTTCAAACAGCAACAAGAACACATCTCTGCCCAGGGCAAAGGCCGCTGGGGGAAAAACTGCAATAGAACTAAGAAAGGGAACTGCAATAGTGGTTAAACATGAAGGCACAACAAGCCTTCTCCATGGGCACAGGCTGGGCCAAGTGGCACATCTGGATCCCGGCGGACGGGGTAGTTAGTGGTTGGGGCCAAAGAGGCTTCCTGCAAAGAGCCGTCTCTTGAACTCGCTCCAGAGCAGGTCCCGCTCTCGGTTCGCTCTCTTCATGAAGCCCCTGTTCTCCTGGGCCCTCCGGGACAGGTAGGGCAGCACCTCGTTCACTGGGCCATAGGGCACATACTTGTAGACGGGGAAGCCTGCCTGGCCTGGAGAGACAGAGAGGATGGTCAGGAAAATGCTCAGAACCAAAGGGAGCCTCCCTAATTCCCTGCTCTCCCATCTCCCTTGGGCTCTGCTACAATGGGCATCCAGGGCTAGACATTTCTCTGGGTAAATGCAACAAGCCAGTGGGACAGGCAGCTGGGAAAGGGGATCTGGGCACTGGGGACAGAGCCCTTTGACTCATCCCTAGACCATTCCATGTTGCCTGCTGTGATCTATGGAGGGATGGTGGAGATGCAAGCTGGTGAGAAGGGTGCAGTGACAACATGTGTGACTGGCTCAGAGGGTCTCAGGGAATCGGGAGCAAGTCCTGGCCAGCAAAGACGGCAGCAGCAGATTTCACTGGATGGACAACACAGCCAAGCAGTGGAGAGGGGGAAGTCTGGGAGCAGCCCAGACATGTGGAGGAGCCTGCCCAGGGAAGTAGGAAGCAAAAGCAAGTCCCTCCTCCTGCTCAGCACTGGAAGCTTGGGAACGAGCTGAATAGGAGAAGGCCAAGGTCACTGGGAGCCCTGGGAATGTCAGCGGCCAGGGCCCAGCCAATTCAAGAAGCATTCAACCAGAAACATCAAGTTAACACATTTTTCCAGCATGACCAGAGGAGACTGCAGACACACAGCCAAGCCCAGCTTGCTAGGGGAGCTCCAGGACGGAGCAGGATCCACGCTGGACAACTGCCCAGTCTGCCTCAAGCTGCTCTCCTGGCCTGGGGGTCTCCACGCTGGAGACCTGTGAAGGGAGGGAGACCCGTGACCTGCATGTCCTGCATGTGTCTGGGCTGGGCTAAATGGAGCTCTGCACATGCCTCAGCCTGTCTGGCCTAGGCCGGTCCCCTAACATGTCTAATCCACTGCCTGGGCCAGGAGCAGAACTGGAGAGAACAAGGCTGGGGTCACTCATCCTGTCCCCATGCAGCTACAGGAGGGCAGAGGGTGCAGAGCTGCACATTGGGCAACGCTGTGCAGAGGATGGAGGCAGGAGCGATGTGCGGCACCGTGTCTGCTCTTTGCCAGGACCTCCCTCCCTGCTCGCTGGCAGCGCTGCTTCCATTGGGACAGACGCCCCGGCCCTGCTCCATCAGCCCCGAGTCCCTCGTGTTTCCAGGGAGCGGAGCTGCAGCACTCACCCAGTGGGAATGTGATTTGGTCGCACATGCCCAGCAGCTGCCCGAAGGACACCTTCTTCTCCGAGGGATGGATCCCCAGCTCCATCATCCTGCATGCCGGAAGCCTCAGTGTTAGAGAAAAGCAGAGAGGGAGCAGGCAGGAGCAGAACGCCCCATGCATGACACTGGACCTGCTTCTGAGCACAGCAAGGCGGCACCAACCCTACCCCGGGCAGAAGTCACCTTCCAAAGACTCGAGCGATTGGAACAGCCCTGGGCTGGGCTGTGCCATGGGGCTCACTCTGCAACTGCCATGGGCTACTGTGCTGTGCCCCATCTCTGGCCCCACAGCAAGGCTCTGAGCACCACATCCAAGGGTGAATCACCGTATTTGAGCACAGAGCTCAGACCAGAAAAGCAGCACATTTCACCATTTCTCTGCCCAGCTCTCCCTCCCCCAGGTCCTTGGGCGCAAGGCTGGGCACAGGCCTGTGTCCCTGCCACCTCCCCAGCTCCTACCTGCGCAGGGTGAACTTGACCGTGTCCTCGTTGTGAGATGCTACCATCACACTGGCTTTCCGGCTGTGCTTAATCTCCTCCAGGATATAGTCCAGGCACCTGCAGGGCAGTACAGGGCTCTGTGGGAAGACTTGCCCAAGTCTGTGCCCCGTAGGATGGGAGGACTATGGCTGGGACTGTCGCCTACCTGTGGTACATCTCATTGGTCTTCTCATAGGTGGGGTTGATGGGATCCTCATAGCCAATCTGGGCAGCTCTGTTGCGTTCCTGCTCCATGTAGGCACCACGGACCAGCTTGGTGCCAAAGTGCCAGCCCTCCCGGCGTGACAGCTCCACGTCCACAGTCACATTGTCATAAGCCTCCTGCCAGCAGGTGGAAGAGACAGCGCACGGTCATCGAATCAGTGCCACATGTGCCCTGCACTTCCAGGATCCAGCCCCGGTGGGACACCAAGGTCTCCACAGGACCCAGCTCCTCCAGCAAGTCCCTTCCCCTGGACCCTGCAGTCTCCTGCAGGGTTTCACCTTCAGGTAGCACTGATAGGTGTTGAAGATGACGGCCCGGTCCCTGTTGAAGCGACGCTGCATCTCCAGGGTGAGCCTACTGATGGCTGGCTGGAAGTAGGACTGCTCTGCGTCCACCATGAGCCTCACGCCGCTCTCTGCGGCCCTCTGCACGGGGAGCACCATGGGGCTGAGCCTGCTGCCAGTGCATGGCCCTCTGCAGCAGGACCTGCCCCAGCCCTGTCTCCCGGCACCTCCTGACCTTTGCAAGGACGTCCATCCTCTGCAGCATCCGTTTCATCTGCAGATCCTCCTCCTCCGTGAAGCGCGAGAGCAGGGGCTCAAGCTGGCCAGTCTGAAATGAGAACAGCCACGGGGACATGGAATTGCCCTGCCTGAGGAAAAAAAGATGCTGCAGGAAGCTGCTGCCTATGGCCGGGCCTGCTTGGAAGCAGAGGAAAACTCCACGGGAAGCCACTTATCTGCAGGTGGTCTCCTGAACTGCTCCTGGTTCCAGCTCCTTGGGCCCCAGCGATGAGCACAGCAAGCAAAGGATGCCCAAGCAGGCCTGGCTGCTGCTTGGCAGGGCACAGGGAGCCCAGGACAGACCCTTGCCAAACTGCGGCAGGCACCCCGGCCTGGCTGCCTAGGTGAGTCTGGCCTCCTAAGAGAGCGGGGGGTCCCCAGTGGTGGTGCCGCCCCGGCGCAGCCACGGGCAGTGCCCCACGTGCACCCACTCCAGCCGGGCACCCCCGGGCTGCGGGTGTGCTCACTGCCACCCCTCTGCCCTGCTCCCCCTCTCCGCTGTGCTGCCTGCAGCTGCCAGGCCTGACTCTGCTCTGCATTAAGCAGGGCACTGCAGGAGCACCGAGTCCTCTCCCTCGGCATCCAAATGCCTAGCTCCTGGCTTGTGGAAAGCAGCTCCATGCTTGGACCTACACTTCGGTGCCCATGGGAAAAGGAGGGCTCCTCTTCCCATGAGGAGAGGGACAAGCTCATGCCCTGGGCTGGAGGCCAAAAAGAGAAGGTGGTAGATGCCTAATGGGGAAGGGTCCCTGAGGAGCAGCAGGCAGGGATAAGGAGGAGCTGCCTGGCATTGGCACTGCCCGCAGGGCTGCGCCAGGGCTGAGCTTACCCACCTTCATGTTGGGGACCAGCAGCAGCTTGGAGAGCTTGGTGCGGCTGTCGATGAGGCTGTTCCAGTCCAGCAGGTCCACAGTGCTGCGAGCAGAGAGCCAGGTCACCATGGGCTGCTCCAGGCAGAGCAAGGAGGTCTCTGCCCGCTCCCACCCCGCACCGGCCTGCAGGGTGCACAACTGCCCCACGCAGCCCCCCGACCCAGCCAGTCACCCCAGCAGAACCTGCTCTGTTTGGAGACACCCTGGCCAATGTCAAGCTCCCCTCGCACCCCGCGAACTGCAGGGCCCGCACTTACCCGCTCAGGCCCAGGTTCTCGCCCGTGAACCAGTGCTGACTCTCTGCTTTGGTCGCAATGCCAAGATTGGCCAGGGCCTCCTGCCGGCAAGAGGGGTGTCAGTACCGATGCAGGGTAGAAAGACACCCAGGGCCAGCGTGCAGGGAGCTACATCAGTGCAAGGAGCAGCCCACTCCAGCACGGCCAGCGGTCCAAGGAGGAGTGTGACAGGACGGGGATCATGGCAACAGGGAGGAGTGGGAGCCCCTCAACTGAAGACAGCAGTAAACCAGCAGGGGAAAGGCAGGGCGAGGACCAGGATGGAGGGAAGAGCACAACAGCGGGCTGCAAAACCCAGTCTGGATCTGAGGCATCACAGGGCAGAGCTGCTCAGGTTGCCCTGTGGAAATCAACAACCTCCAGCAGTCCCTGTGTGGTGGCAGGTCCCCCCCATCCCTCCTGCAGCACAGCCTTGTCCCTTAGGCATCACCCCGCTCACCTGCAACTTCTCCACCTCCAGCTTCGTCTCCAGGGCTGCCCGCCCAGCCTGGCCCTGCTCTGCAGCCATTTGGTGGAAGAACCTCCGCCACTTCACCAGCACCTCCGAGAACTGCAGCTGCAGGAGCAGAGCTGGGCGTGAGCTGCCCATGCCGGGCTTGGCAGGACCCTGCCCAGCCACAGCCCTTCTCCTCGTGGCACCACGAGGCAGCCCTGGGCACCCCCGGGCACTTACCAGGAACTGCGGCCTGCCCAGGGCCGTCAGCTTGATGGCTGAGAAGCCGTCCTCAGAGCTGCCGCCTGCACAGAGCCACGAAGCACAAAGCTGATGAGCCAAGAAGAGCTCCCAGGCGGGAGGAACAGCCGAGACGTGGGCACAGGCTGTGCAGAGAGCCCAGCCATGGGGCTGCAGAGCGCCGGGCCCGTTGCCTGCGGGCTCCCGAGTACCCTGGCCCAGCTCAGGGCATGGCAGAGCACTCACCCGAGGCATCGATACAGCGCAGGAAGATCTCCATATGCTGGTCACACTTGGCCTCATCTGCGTAGAAGTACGTACGGGCGCTGATGACCCCACCACGGCGGTCTCCAAAGCCGCGGTGGGCCCGGTACTGCTTCTCTCTCTGCTCTGCTCCTGCAGAAGAGGCCAGAGGTGGGCTGTGCACCTCTGCAGGGCTCTTACAGCCTCCTCATGAGTCCTGCTTCCCACCCATAGGCTCGGGACAGGCGCTGGGGCAAAGAGGTTCTGGCTTGGACCATACAAGTTGCCAAAACAGGTCATCAAATGGGTCCTTCATGCTCTGTTGCCCAGGCAGGGACTCAGCCATTGCTGAGGAGCGGCGTTGGCTGAGAAAAGCCAAGAGCGTTTCCCAACCAACTTGTGCTCGGAGACTGTGGATGCCCATGGCGCTGGCTGGACCTATCTACTGCGGGCAGGAGTGGCCGCTTCACTCACCTCCCGTGTCCTTCTCAGCTGCAGAGGTGCAGGATCTGAGAAGAGAAAGGAGGCAAGGTGACCGCGGTGAGCGGGGCAGCTGCCCAGGCTCCCCGGCGCCCGCCCACCACCAGGGCTGGTCTTGCCTTGCAGTCCTGGCACTAACACATCCAGCCGCGGTCAGTGCAGCCTCCGCCAGCAGGGCAGATGCCCAACGCTCCCACAGGGAGCTGTGGTGGCACGAGGAAGATGTCCCTTCCTGTGGCCAGGGCAGCTCCCACGAGGGATCCGGAGGGCTGCAAAACCCTGGGGAGCTGCAGGCAGGGATGTCCATCCCGGAGCAAGGACGAGGCCAGCGCTGGTGCCGCGGCCGCCCGCGCTCCTCGCCCGTCACGCCAAGCCTTGGCCCGGCGCCTCCGCAGCCTGACGGCGCTCCAGGCGCCATCCCCACGCCAAGGGCTTTTCCACTCCGCCAAGCTGCAGGCTCTCCTGCCAGCGGTCCAGCTGCCTGCGCCGAAGCATTAGCCAACGATTCGCAAACAGAGAAAGGCTCAGCTTCAACTCCAGTTGACCTTGCATGTCATCTCAAGCCCAAACTTTGTGACATCGAGATAACAGGGTCCGGACAGGCTGTTGCTGGCCAAGCCATGATTGCCTCCTCTAACTTGAGCAGCTGGGCCTGGCACCTCCAATCCAGCCCATGGATGCAGATCTCGCATATCTAGAAAGCGACGCCCAGAGCTGCCCCCTCCCTGGAGATCCATCCTCTGCAACTCCGGAGTCAGCGTCCCAAAATCACCTTTCCCTCTGGACATGCAGGAAAGGGCCTTAAAGGGAAGCAGCAGGAGCAGAACAGGAAGCCAGTGGAGCCAGAGCCAGAGAGCATCTCGCAGGAGCTGAGACGCGCGACCCTGCCAACGAACAAAACTGGCCACGTGGAAACCCTGTGACAGGGATTAGGGCCTGTGGGAAGCACGAACAAGCAGCCAAGCCCTTCCTGCTGCTGCGGGTCCCCAGGGGCAGGAGCAACCTGGGCTTGCTCTGAGCGCAGTGAAGCCTCCCCTGAACCAGGGCAGAAGCACCCAGAGCGCGTCGGGAGCCGCGGGCACCGTGCCACAACCTGCCACGCACGGCAGTGTTTTCTCCATGGTTTTGCTGCCTCCCAGGACAGGTCAAGAAACTTTCTGCCTCTGAATACAAACAGTTGGAGGAAGGAAGGCGACAACACATTATATATCCCAGGAGAAGATGTGGAAGCAGAGGCCCCCACAAACAGAAGATCCCCTTGGAGCAAGCAGCATGTCACAGTGCAAGACATGCTTGGGATGCTGGGGACACGGCAGCAGAGATGTGCCCTGCAAACAGGTCCCCAGTGCAACAAAGCAGGACCGTTCTGCAAATGCAGAGCACTCCCAAGTGCAGAGCCCTCGTATCCAGCACCTGAGACGCTACAGACAAGCAGCAGGAAGCAGAGCTTTCCCAGACCTATGCAGAGCAAACGCACAAAACCGAACTAGCAAAGAGACACCCTCGATTTTGAAGCATTTTGTGTCCCTGAAGATTAATGGACTTTTTGCAGCAACGTTCCTGACTGCAGCGGGTCCTTTGCTCCCTGAGGTGGCACATAAAGCAAATGTCACGATGTTCACTTTATTATTGTGCATCAAGCAAAATAAAGGAGACTCCTTCTTCCAGCTGAAGCAATAGCTTTTCCTGGATATTATCTGTTTCTTTTGTAACATTAGTCTTGGCCAGCAGAGCCTTCCTGCAGCATCCAGACGCCACTTTAACCCAGAGCAGCTGCACTCAACTTATACCTGGTCACCCTTTTGCCAACAGATAGCAAGTGTCTCGCAGCGGGAAGCAGCACTAAGCCCTACCCTAAAACTTCTAGAAGGCTTTAACTGGCAAGGAATTATCTGCAAGACACGAGGTCTTGTCAGTACCGAACCAGAGAAAGCGTTAAAGTCGAGCTGGCACAATTCTGCTTTGGTGGGGAAGAATCAATGCAGTGAGGGGAAAGCAAGCGTGCTGGATTGCTGTGAGAGACTAATTCAGCTGACACAGCAGACTTGAGCCTGCTGAAAGCTTCCTGCGAGCCCAAAGAAGCTGTTTCAGGAGAAGCACAGAGGTTCCTTTGTGCGAAGCGGGTAGGTAACGCTCCATCTCGCTGCAGGTTTGCAGCAAGGTGCCAGAAGAACAGTGCGTTTGCTTCGCCCATCAGCAGAGGGGTCTGCGAGAGGGGATGAGCAACCATCAGGGAGAGGTTGTCCCAAATTATCACATCCAAGGAAAGTATAACCGTTGTGGGAAGCTCAGCTCTGGACGATGGTCAAGGAATAAAGCCAGGCAGGAACAGTCCCTCAATCCTCCACACATGCAACACGTTTTTTGCAGACACCAGCGCAAGGCTGCAGCAACTCTACGAGTCCTGTCCGAGCGCTGCTTGGCAGAGCTGCCTGCAGGGTGTCCGTGACGGCTGCTGCCTCGGGAAGCGCAGAGGTGAGCGACAGCCTGGAGGCTGCACCATCAGCCCCCACGGGCTCTCCACTCACCCCCGCGGGGAGGAAGCCACTTCCCAGCCTCCTTCCCTGTGAGCTGTCACCTTTCCATCCGCGCTGACAAGACAGAGCAGCCAAATGTCCCCCCCACCGCTGCCAACCCTCTTGCAGCGCTGCCTCCATTCGGGGCTGCTGCCAAGGTCCCCACAGGCCCCCGACGCAGGTGCTGGCACCCCTGCGGGGCCCTTGGCCGCCCGCGTCACCGCGGCTTCCGTCCTTGCGCCACGAGGACGGGGTCAAGGCCTGCCGGGGCGAGCCGGGGTGCTGGGAGCTGGCCAGGCAGGGTGGCAGAGACCGCTGCAGTGGGTAGGGAGCACCCTGGAGCACCGGGGCTGGTCACTGCCAGCCAAGCTGGTGCGTTAATGCTCCCAGCTGAAGCCTTCACTTCTATGAGCCCCGGACACCTCACCCTGTCCCAGCCGCGTTCAGCTGCTTCATGCGCAGAAGCAGCAGCAACTGGGGCTCCTGCCTCTGAACAGAGCAGACAGAGCCGGGCTCAGCACGGGCCAGGGCACAATGCAGTGCCACAGATGCCTCACCCTGGGCTTTGCCCCCTGCCACGACATCCCTGCAGGACCAGAATGGAGTTACCTTTTCCCTTGTCCATTTACTAGCTCATGGCTTGAACAAGCCCTGCTCATGGCCCCGCACTCCTGTGGAGCAGCCCAAGCCACCGCGGTGGGCAGAGTTTGGGACCTCAGCAGTCCCCACAACTAAGTCACGGGCAGGACCAGACCCAGGGACTGCAGCCAGGCTCTGAGTGCCAGCAGGGATCCCTCATTCCGCATGCTGGCGGCATCGGCGCTAGCAGTCACTGGCGCCTGGGATTATGCTGGGGGAGCCAAATCCCAGTGGGATGCTGAGCAGGGCTGTGCCTGCGGCTCCTGCACACACTGTGCCCGCCAGGCCGGGGACGCGGGCGCACTG